TGGTTTTTGGAACTCCCTTGCCTGGATTCTCGGTGCTGCCTCTATGTCCGCTATTCTAGGGCAGCAGACTGTCTCCATGTATGCCCTGATGCATCCAGGCTTCGTCCCTCAGGCATGGCATATCTTTGTGAGCTTTATCATCTGCACATGGCTTTGTTGCTGCATCGTCCTTTTCATGAACCGGTTTCTCCCACATATCGGTAATCTTGGAATGTTCTTCATCTTGGCCGGTGTGTTGATCACCATCATCGTGTGTGCGGTCATGCCCCATGTTAAGGGCACTGGCTATGCCACAGGCAAAGATGTCTGGAGCAGTTGGGAGAACGACACTGGATATTCTAGTCAGGGCTTTGTCTTTGTTGCCGGTATGCTCAACGGAGCCTACAGTGTGGGCACCCCCGATTGCTCGTCGCATCTTGCGGAGGAAATTCCTAGGTAAAATTACCATCGTAATTCTGATGCTCTTGAGATACTAATGATGAACAGGCCAAGCCGTAACATTCCCAAGGCTGTCCTGGCTCAAATGGGCGTCGGCTTCATCACCGGTGTTCTTTACATGATTGCCCTGTTCTATTCGATCACCGATCTCGACGCAGTCATCAACAGCGTCTACGGATTCCCTCTCGCCGAGATCTACCGTCAAGCAACAGGATCTAGGGGTGGTGCAATCGGTCTGCTTATCGTGGCTTTCATACCCACGGTCATCACTTGCGCTGGTTGTTACATCACCGCTGGTCGCACTTTGTGGACTATCTCTCGTGACGGAGCAACTCCTTTCTCTCGCTGGCTCGGACATATCAACACCCGGATGCACAACCCTTTCAATGCCACACTGGTATGCGGTGGGATTGTCACGATTCTTGCTTGCATCTACGTCGGATCCACCACTGCCTTCAACGCTTTCGTTGGCTGTTTCGTGCAGCTATCCAGTCTTTCGTATTTCGCTGCCATCTTTCCGCATGTGCTTACTCGCCGGTCCTCGTTCACACCCGGTCACTTCTGGATGGGCCGTATTGGATTTCTAATCAATATCTTGGCATGCATCTACATTCTCGCCTTTGTTGTGATCTTCTGTTTCCCTTACGCCTTGCCCACCGATGCCGCTTCTATGAACTACGCCAGTCTGATGACTGGAGGCTTGACGATCTTCGTGACTGTCTGGTGGCTTTTCCGCATGAACACCTATGAGGGACCTAAGTCTATCCCTATGACCGATAAGGTGATTGTGGCCGACGCGGACTAAGCGCTGTTAAATAGGAGACATTATTTGGATTTGAGCATTAGGCACGTTATACCGAGCAATGTTGTCAGTCTAACACTTAATGATGTGCTACATTTGACGCGAATATACTTAGAATAATCTTTATGAGCTGTATATAATCTTGATAGTGATTGGGTTCGGATGGAATGCGTTGGATTCCGTAGATGGAAACACCGTGCTCAGCAACGCAAAGATTCAGAAAAGAAAATCTTTCCAACATTTCCTGAAAACCTAAATCTACTGTCGACAGTGTAAACTCTATATCCCATACACAGTACAAGCACAACATGCCTTACTACCACAATAGGTAATAAGCACTGTATTGTCACGTGATGTCGCGACACCCGCGCGTCGAGGCTGTCGCGCGCAGCAGAAAAGACTCATCAACTCCAAGGTGCAACTGTCCAGCAGAAAGCACCAGGAACCATCAATCGTGATGGTTTTTAAGCCATTTAAACCTCCTTCGATGAGGAAACCCCTTCAGCCTACGGTTTCGAGACCAGCTGTGCCCGCTGAAACTTCCGAGGCCGATGGCCCTCCACCCAAGAAACCGCGTTTACAGCCAGAATATCCGGCGGACGTTGAGAATGCCACTCCGGCCGCTGGACGACCGGTGAAGCCTATAACTAAGCCCAAGAAGGATGTGGGGCCCTCAGCTGAGTCGGGAAGCCATGGTGATACCACTGGAGATAGGTATTTCAATGTCCTCTGGTACGTGCAGTCTATCTTGTTGGATTTGGCTCCTACGTAGTGGCGAGCAAGGCTGACCAGCTGTGAAGGCGCAAAGTCACCATGAAGAAGAACAAAACGTGGGACGGCGACGGGATCCTGACTATACGCGATGGCTACGCCTACTTGCAGGATGTTTCCGGAAGAGACATGGGGCGGGTGATGTATGGCTCCCGCCTCGAACCTGGTGTTATGCTATCTATTGGAGGCAAGGAAGTGGAAATCGACTCTGAAATGTCGAAGAAAGAGTATCTGTCTGGAAGACAATACCTGCAAACGAAGAAGGCCCCGCCTCCTTCGACAACACCCCCCACCAAGGCGTTCGTTCCTGTTCGAAGCAGTACTAGCACTTCTGCTCCGGCGACAGTTGCTAAGAGCCAACCTGCAAAGCCTAATATTCCAATCCTTGCGAATCCTGCGTCGAGGAAAGGGACAGTCACTGGCACATACAAAAGGCCGTTGTTGGAAAGCACTGTTTTACCCCCCACGCCATCGGAGAAGCCTGTTCCACGCCATGATCCCAGCCAACCTGGAGCGCTGGTCATGAGACGGCCGGACTCAGTGCCAAAAGGGAAACAAATCGTTGACGTCGTTGTCGATCCGTTTCTGGCTAAACATCTGCGACCTCATCAACGGGAGGGTGTTCAGTTCTTGTACGAATGTGTTATGGGAATGAGATCTTTCAACGGTGAAGGAGCTATTTTAGCAGACGATATGGGATTAGGGAAGACCTTGCAAACTATAACCCTCTTGTGGACACTGCTGAAGCAGAATCCAGTTCATGGCAGTCCTCCCGTGGTTAAAAAAGCTCTCATTGTCTGTCCGGTTACTCTAATCAATAATTGGAGGAAGGAATTCCGCAAATGGCTCGGGAATGAACGAATTGGAGTATTTGTGTTCGATGATAAAAGGAAACGACTCACTGATTTTACAAGAGGAAGGGCTTATAGTGTGATGATTGTGGGATATGAGAAGCTCAGGTCGGTGCAAGAAGGACTGGCCAACAGCAACGGTGTCGACATAATTGTTGCCGATGAAGGTCACAGGCTGAAGACGCTTCAAAATAAGAGCGGTCAAGCTATTCAGTCGCTGAATGCGACAAAGCGGATCATTCTATCCGGTACACCCATTCAGAACGATCTGAAGGAATTCTTTGCTGCGGTAGACCTTGTCAATCCCGGCGTCTTGGGGACTTTCAAGTCGTTCGTTAGGGAATTCGAGGGTCCCATTGTCAAGAGCCGACAGCCTGAGGCGACTCGAAAGGACATAGAGAAGGGAGAGGCCAGGAATGAGGAGCTACGAGAGCTCACTTCCAAGTTCATGCTGCGAAGAACAGCCGATATCCTGGCTAAATATCTTCCCCCGAAGACGGAGTATGTGCTATTTTGCAAGGCGACGCGCACGCAAGCGACCATTTACCAGAATGTCCTCGCCTCTCCGGTCTTTCAAAGTGCCCTCGGAAACTCGGAGAGTGCTCTTCAACTTATAACTATCCTCAAGAAACTCTGCAATAGCCCATCGCTGCTTACGCCCAGAGACGTAAACGAAACGCCCAGCGAAACCATCGCCGCTCTCTTGTCTTCCTTACCACCGAATCTCCTACGCCACTTCACTCCCTCATCAAGTGCCAAACTCCGTGTCCTGGATCAGCTACTTGATGGTCTACGCACAAAAACCTCGGAGAAAATAGTTCTTGTCTCTAACTACACCTCTACATTAAACTTACTAGCAAACCTACTTACATCTCTCTCCCTCCCTTTTCTCCGGTTGGATGGCTCCACCCCCGCACAGAAACGACAATCACTAGTCGAGGACTTCAACCGTCTCCCATCAAACCTCTGCTTCGCCTTCCTCCTGTCCGCAAAAGCTGGAGGTACCGGGCTGAATCTCATAGGTGCCAGTCGACTCGTCTTATTCGACGTGGACTGGAACCCCGCTACTGACATCCAAGCCATGGCACGAATCCATCGTGATGGCCAAAAGCGTCACTGCCGGATATACCGAATTCTACTCAAGGGCAGCCTCGAAGAGAAAATCTGGCAGCGTCAGGTAACAAAGATTGGGCTTGCCGACAGCGTCATGGAGAAAAAGGACAGCGTGGCCCAGTTTTCGCGGGACGAACTCAAAGACTTGTTCCGACTGGACGAAGAAAGCAAATGCCAAACACATGAGCTATTAGGCTGTGACTGTGGAGGTAACGGACAAATTGTTCCACCAACAGTACCGGAGAATGAAGACGAGAACAAAGATAGTGAAGACGACCACTCATCTTCAAGCTCCTTGGAAGACTTCCCCGATCTACCTACCCTGATTAAAGCCTCCCAAGTAGACATGGAGAAGCAAGAACGTCTAATCCGCTCCCGATCAAGATCCCGACCATCCCGACAAACAACTCGCAGGTCGAGGGCCGGGAATAAACACGGTGATGACGAAGAAGACGAAGATGAGAATGAAAATGATGAGACCACGGAACCGGCCAATCAACAAAAAAATCGAATCCAGCAATCTCTATCACAATACTGTCACATTGACCCCGTCCATCTGACCACCTCAGGGACGGATACCGCCGAACGGCTCGAATCAACCATCGACGACGATGTCCTCCTCTCTTTGCTCAAAGACGAGGACAGTAATAGAATCGGATTCGTCTTTAAGAAATCGGCCTCGGCAGCAGCTGAAGTAGAGCCTAAGACGAAAGACGATGGCAAGGACGGTACTTTGGCATCTCCTTCGGTTGTGGTTATTCCGGACTCGGATTGATTGATATATCGACTTCCTACATACACATACACATGCGCATAGAGGCGAATACATACACACAGACATACAAAGTTACACGAATAGATGCATGCATGGATAGCTACACCTAGGATGGGTTATTGTTATTAGTTTTTATATATAGTAGGAGCAAACAATTGGGACATGCTTTCGCTTGAGTTTATCCTAGATATGGTATCCTTCATACTACTTTATGCAACGGATCCGATGTATGCAGCTGTGACGTAGGTTAGGGCAAGGTACCACTACTAATGGTAAATTATTTGAAATTATGAGATACTATGTTATTACAGTGTCGGCTTAGAGATGCGCAATGCTAGCGAGTGAGAAGGACCAGTGAAGTTTAAACTAAAACTAGTCAAGTAGGAAAATAATAAAAAGCTCGAGACATAATTGGAGAGAAATGGTTCAATATAGTATTCATCACACTCTAAAACTTGCGTCGCACATTTGCAGGTCGTCTTCCGGTTCATATACACATGGGCATCTGGAAAATCGTGAAGAGGGGGTCGCAAGTGAGGAAACAGGGAAAGTATGATAAGAAGGGAAAAAATGATGGAAGAAATGATCACAGCAAGAGGGGGTATGAATATGCACATGAATAGTAATAATAACACCTGCAGGATAAATCAAAGGAACATCGCTAAAAGTCAGATGCATGAACAAGACAGGGTGAAAAGTAAGAAATGGGGTTATGTGGAATAAATATCCGGTGTTATTACGAGGAAGTCTTTCAATATCTGGACTTCCCGACAAGTCCGAAGGTGTATGCTGCTTCGGCTTCACTCTTCATCTGGATCATGTAGATCTTGGAGCTACCGACGGTAACACCGCCCTTCTTGGGCATGGCTCCGCCTTCATTTTCCTCCCAGACGGACACGGCGATACCGGTTCGAGCCACACGCTCGAAAGAGCTTTCGCCTAGGCAGACGTCCAGGAGCACCTCACCACGAGTCTTGCCTCGAATTAGGATGCGCTTCTCGGGCTCCGCTCCGCGTCGGGGAGAGGCGGATCCAGATGCTGGGGAATTGTCCTCGGCTCCTTCCGCAATGCTGTTGGCATCTCCGCGCCCGCTGGCCGCGTCAGAAGGATGAGGTGCTGAGGGCGCAGGCATAATGGTTAGCCTTGCAGCACCCATATCGCGCCACTTGGATTGAGTTTCGCGCAAGTAAAGCCGAATCTTAGCATTGGACAGACCGATACCATCACTGCCCTTGATGGCGGCTGCGATACGGCCAATACCGGATGAGGGAGAGGCATTTGACCCGGAGCCGATAGAGCTTGAGTACAAGCTGTCTTCATTCTGCCCATCGCGAGAGGTGAGTGAGGAACGAGAGATGTTAAACATCTTGCTGCCGCCTCCGAACCGCTTTAGTGCTGAGAATGCACTGCTCATGGTCCCTACGCTACTCTCAGAGTTATCGGCAACCGACCGTGGAGAAGTAGATGCACGGTAGCTTCGCCTGCGTCGTGGCCAGCCGAACAACCCACCATTCTTCGTGGGTGACTCCACGGGTGCCGGTTGCTCTGCGTAAGGTCCTCGGGCATTCTGCAGCGCTATATAGGTTGGGTTGTTGATGCGCGCTTGATTGATGAGACCGTATAGGAATTCGCACTCGTCGGCGTTTCGAGATCGGAACATGATGTTGTTGCTCCAGTTAATTTTGGACCGCTTGGTGGGAGGGGAGCGGATACTTATGTCAATGGCTGTGCCGCGACGGATAGGTACAAGGGGTGTGAGCTCAAGAGCGATAAGCGGACGTGCTTTCTTCGTGTCGCTGTCATCTTCCTCCATCCCGGCTGGTGCATTTCCCACATCATATGCTTCGATGAGACCAGGACTGACTATAACCTTGCAGTCATCGGGGAAGATGCTATCCCATGAGCCCTTGTCTGACCAGGCGAATACCGATGCAATCACAGTGGACGACTTGCTCGGTTGCGAGGGAACAGATCTATATCCACCCTGAGAGGCCGAATTAGACAATGACAGAGAGCTACTAGCAGACGAGGCTTCTGGGGCTGGTGCCTTTGGCTTGGTAGGAGCTTCGAATGGCGGCAGTGATGCGTGCTCATCTCCAGACTCGTCCGAACTATCTGTGTCCGAATACTCGGAGGCTGAATGCACTTCGTACCGACGCACAGTCGATGTATCAGAATCCGAGTACGAATCAGAAGCAGTAGATGGTTCATATTCATGCTTTAGGGGCGAGGAGCCACGGCGCCTAGTTCGCACACCACTAGGGCTAAGCACAGGGGTATTTGGAAGGCTGGAGCCAATGGAACTCGGTGATCGAGAATGAGTCGGCGGAGGTGGTGGGGACTCATCTTCGTCAGCCTGGTCCGATCCCGAGTGCTGGCGAGAATGGTTCTTGTTCTTGCTAGGAGTTTCAGGGATGTTATCATATTCCACAGGAGGAAATTCGTCATCGGATGTGGATGCCAAAGAGTCCGAGATATATGTCTGACTGCTGCCCTTTCTGAGTTTTGGAATAAGAGGGAGGTCCATCGACGGCACGGAAGACACTCGGGGAGAACTCTTCTCAGGGGTACTCTTCGTAGGAGTCTTCGGGGTCTGCTGCTGCTTGGGTTTCTTTTCTTCTGGGCGTCTGGCTTCTTCGTGGGCTGGAGGGGTTCCTCGGTCCAAGCTTGGGTCTGTTGGTGTGGTAGGGCTAGAAGGAATGATTTCTCCATTTCTGGTAACTCTCTTGGCCTTTGACCGTTTGAGGCCAGGGGAAGGTCTGTCATCAGCCGTGAAGCTTTTGCGGGGTTCCCTGGCATGCAATATAGATTGCGGAGGCGGGGACTTGATCGATAGCTCATCACCAATAGCATAGTCCGACTCTGGAGTTTCTGCACTTTGCAGTGAAGTACGGGACTCGCTGATCCAAGAGCCCAGGGTACTGGGATCCGAAAGATGATCCTTAGGGGTCAAGGATCGGCGCAAGGTACGAGAAGTAGGCTTCTCGCCGATAGGGACATTGACATTTGAAGGACTTGGTGGCGCTTTTTGTGCCTGAGAGGCCTCGTTGGCTGAAGATATAGTCTTTGCCCGTTGCCGCTTGGTCCTATCAATGAAGCTTTGGGTTCTACAGATAGCCGGTGGGAGAGGATTCGAGCCCAGCATCTGAACCCATTCGAATCCAATGTCCTCTTCATCAATTTGGAGCACCAGAAGTTCTTGCCAGGGTTTGGTATGGTTCGGGCCACTCCGTAACATGACCACGATCTCGCCCTTTACGTCGCCGTTGCGAGCAGAGACACGGCCAACCTCAATAGGGGGAAATAGCAACCAACGATCTGTATGGTCAATCTCGCAGATTAGTAGATCTCCGCCTGCCTTATTTCCGGCGGCACCGTCTCTCAAGAGGAGCTCTGCACGACAGTCAATGATCTGGCCACTTGTGTGGTACAACGAAAGATTAAAGAAGTCACGGGCCCGGACTCTTCGGCTTCTATCGACAGTGACTCCGGGGAGTGCTCCCAAGGTCGCAGGATCCCTTGCACGCGTAGCGTCAACGTTGGCAGCAGATTCATCCTCAAGCCTTGCTCTCTCTTCGCGGGCCCGGCGGCGGGCGTCTGTCACAAGGCTCTGATATACCGCAGCAACATCCTCGGCCTTGGCTGATGGCTGAATGGTCTTGATTCCCTTGAAGGTCTTTGCGAGGTACTTCAGGCGTACGAGAGGCCGCTTCAGAAGGTATGCCACGTCAACCTTCTCACCTTCACTATCCACCACATCGCCGTTCTCATCCCTTGCCATGCCCTCATCCAGACTCTTTGTATCGGTATTGTCGCCTGCCTCGCCCTCTTCAAGAGGCGCGAGGTTGACAATCACGTCTTTGAACCCCAGTCTCCAGGCCTTGAGGTATTCGCGATACACTCTCTGCGCCCCGTTCGCCCAGGTGAGCAGAGCTTCCACATCATCCTGCGGAATCCGCTTGTGCAGTGTTTTCAGTCGCTCAATAGCAACTCCCATGTCCACTATGGGCTTGCTGAAATTCACCTCATCCTTGGGGTCCACAGAAGGTCGAAAGAGTCCAGCCGCAATAGCAGAATCGGATTTCGATAGCACACATGTCAAGAGGACTGGGATGACACCACCGACCAGTGTTTTAAGCTCACGCATGTATTTTACCTCGTCAGCAGCCAACTCCTTAAGAAGGTCAGGAATGTTCTCTGTGGTAATACGACTCTTCGTTTTTAGACTCCTGGCAGAGCGAAGGCTTCTACTCCGACCACTTGGAGCAGACAGGACTGATATCAAATCATCATGAGTAGTAAGGCGCCTCTTCAACTGGGAGGAAATCCCGGGAAGTGAGTTGGGGTCAAACTGGTCTCTTTTCTCCTCTTCGACCAGCTTTGCCTGAGTGGACTCTGCCTCCCGTTTTTCCGATGCGGCATCTTGCTTCAGTCCTGTAGTCTCCTTCGTCGTGCTCATTGACTCAACGGACGCGATTGTCGAGAGGGGATGGGCCCCTGTCGTGGGAAATGGCTTTCGACGACCAAGCGGCACCGGTGCATTATTCGCAGACACTTCAGACCCCTCCGACAACTGCTGGGAGTCAGTCTCCGATGCATTGTCCTTGTTGCCACGGTCTCGCTTGCCAACAGGTAGCTTATCGGCGCCTGATGACCGCGGTTTCTCCTCGCGTTCTGTAGATGCCTTGTTCTTATCCGACACAGCGTTGTCCTTCTTGGGCTCTGATTTCTCCTCTGCTGTCTTAGTTTGTTCGCTTCTAGTTGGGCCTTCTTTCCTCTGCGCTGGCGGCGCATGCTTCTTCGATGTGTCGCTTGCAAAAGGAGACTCAGCATCGCTCTTGACCTTGGGCACCTCCTCTTGTTTCGCTGGTTCCTTCTTCTTGCCGGTTCTGGTGTTTAATGGCGCGGGTATTTCGACATCGGGCTCCACGTCCTCGATGAACGGGTCAGGTGTTTCAGAAAGCCATGCCTCTATTTTAGCGCCTCGACCGGGTTTGGGGGGTTCCGGTTTAGCGAACATCTTCTTGGACTCATCAAGCATATGGGAGAAGATGCCGCCTTTGGGGGGCTTCACTGTTCCCCGGCCTCTAGGTGGAGGACCCCGGGGTGCTGGATTTGGACCTCGCGCACGTCGCCTAGAGAGCTCTGAGAAATCAGCCTCGCTTGCCGCCCACTCGGAGTCTTCGTCCAATCCTCCGTCCTTTATCTTTGCACTCTGCGACAGCTCCGACCGTGCGCGTACATGGGTTTTGTCGGCGGTTGCAGGTCGCGAAGTAGACTTGGAAGATCCATTGTGTGACGCACTCTCCTCCTCGGCCTTGTCCTCGGGTATTGTATCAACATCTCGAGATGCCCTCGACTTTCTCCGTTCTCTCGTTGCCAGGTCGGATGCTATAGCAGCCCTGCCTCTTTCCTTGCTGCGGGAGGGAGAGGGTAATATCGTATCCTCCCGCGCATCTTCGGCTCCACCAGCTTGCGGAGAACGTAGACGGTCATTTGTGGTATATTCGGCAATGCGTTTCGGCGGAGGGAGCCTTGAGGAAGGCGTTTGGGTGGGAGTTCGATTCAGCTTCCAGTGTTCATCACTAATGACGCGTTTGCGAGGCGTGCTTTTGCTGCGTGTCCTCGTTCCGGAGCCATTGGAGCTACCGGATCCCTTATCGTCGGCCACTTTAGAATTGGAATCGGCTGTTGAATTCTCCTCGTCGTCGTCGTAGCAAACCCCATCATTGGCCGTGATTACCCCACCTCCCTGCTGCTGCCACTTGCGAACCTTTGCTCGCACGGAATTTGTATCGTAAATGCCTAGGGGCACCCCAATGTCGAGCGGTTTCTTGGTCGGGGATGTTCTGGTGCCTCCCCCACGGTTGGAGGGGCGCTGCGGGTTGGCAGGAGTCGGCATGGAAATCTGCGACCGGAGCCAGGCATTAGCAGTGAAATTGAGGTCGCGAAGATTGATCGAGATGTCAGACGCAATCTGCAGAAAAATGCGATCGCAGAGCTGACATTTTGTTTAATTGGGCAGTGCGAACAAAGAAAGATAGGGAAATCCACCCACCGACGTCACCAGTTGTTTGTTTATGGGAGGGGAAGCTCACTCGAGGTCAAGACACCGACAGCACATACCCTGGTTGACAACCACAAGGTAGCGGTTCTGCTGGGAGGGGAGAGCAATTAATTGGGACACCACAAATGCAAAATACGAGTTCAAGACAGAATATGCAAATTGAAACTGGAGAACAAGCAAGGAATTGAGCGAGAATAGGCGGTCAAGTGCAGAATGGAGACCCGGACGTAGGCAGCGCAGCTCACTAGTTAGTACACACGGCGGTGGTTAGAGAGTGTGTCTAGTAGTAGCTGGCGCGGGGACAATCAGTTGCTAATCGATGTCTCCAGAGGCCCTCATTCCTCTCTGAATGTGTGAAGAGGCTCTTCAAGAATAATCCACAAGGCCAGCCTGGATGCACAACAAACACAACACAACACACCCGTGTGATCCAGCTCTGTCTGGTTCTTGTGGTCTATACTTCGCTGGAACTGCGGGACGGACAGACGGACACACTTCGTCCCTCTGGGTTTGGCCAAAGGCTGCCCGGGAAACCAGCTTGAACTCTGCGCCACTCGCTGGGCCCAACCAATTCCATGGCCAGAATGCCCCGTTCGTCAAGATCTGGCGCCCAAGTTTAGTTTGCACCAGCCAACCGCATTCCGCCAGAAATGATGATTTGCTGCTGCTCTTGGGCTCGACCGTTCAGAGCTCAATTATTCATTCCGCGACCGGTGGTTCGACCCTCCCTTTCTCTCGAGTGGAATCGAATGGTTCAGGTACATCCAATCCAAGATTCCAGAACTCTAGGGACATGCCCCCTCTCTATTTATCTATTCATCCCTTCCCTTTGGCTTTTATTTTTGTTTTTTTCCTTTACCCAACTTACCATGCACGGTCATGGTCATAGCTGCTGGCTGATGAGATGCACATGTGCCCTCATCCCCACATGACTTTGCGGCCTCTTGCATCCCTATGCCTCGCACCATGTCACCACCCTGGCCGCCCGATGTCGTGGTCGTTTGAAAGATCCTTTTCTTTCTCTCTCTTTTTGGGGTCCGATAATAGAGCAGTCATATTGCACCGCGGAGCAATAGCCAGCCGTAAGACGATCATTCCGCTGTAACTAACGTGTATCTCGGAGCTATACTTTCTGATTGCCGGAAGAGCAGGAATGCCTAAACCGATCCACCCGGGGCTACGCGTCACAGAGTGGGCTAAAAAGGGAAAATTATTCTACCTGATTCATTGATAATTCGAGTGCGTTGTCATGCACTGGAGCACTGGGCTATGCTGATTGCTTTTTCCCACTCGGGCGCCGTTGATTGGAGGCTCGACAAGAGAGGGCAGTCCCGGCCGAAGCGAAGATCATCTCGTGCGGGAATGCCCTCTGAGATTATACGCATGCATGGTCAGGGTAAGGTCAAGGCCCTTGGTCTGCGTTAGCCAGCACTACCCCTCATCTAGATGCTGTTCCGTTTATAACAGGAGTGACATCATTCTCACTGTACGTCTCTCTTATCGGTCCTTGCGCTGTCTGGAAGGATTTTCCAAGACTCTGAGGGCCTCCGTTGTTGTCCGGATACTCTGGTAAAGATAATCTATGTCCATCATTAGCCCAAGACGAGTGGAAATCAAGCAAGGGATCCGTGGGGGACTGGAACGTACAGAACGGAACCACAATCCAGATGAAATTCATCAGGAAATAGTACACCCAAAAGTAGTAAGGCTCCGGGCGGCAGTACGGTCGGTCATGAACGTAGTGATCGAACAAGCTGGTCGCATAGTACAGAGCATCGCCATAGAGGTGGCTCATGCACACGATGATCTGCAGCGGATGGCGCAGAGGATGCTGAGAAAGGGTCAAGTATGCAACCAGAAAACAGAGCGGGCCCCAAAGAAGCTATTCCAGTAGTTTAGCAACAGTGTCGCAGGCGGAGCTAAGGAGGACAATGAGCAGGGGTCCCTGCAGCCACGGGTGCACCTACGACTGTGATAGTCTCCATACACAAGACGAGGGTATCTGAGGTCATGTATCGCGAATCCGACAGGGCATATTCCTTCCATAGTTGACCGAAGAAATCTTGCGCAGATGCCATACGAGCATGGTTGATCATAAAATAACCCTCGAAGAAGCAGTGAATCTTACCCGCTTGGAGTTCACACCGCAATTAGCATCGAGAATTGTTGTCTCGCTGTCGCAATAGTACGTAACTATAGAGTCCAACTTACAGAGGGCAAACCACAGAATAGCAAGACGGTCGGCTTTTGTTAGCGCTGGTCGGAGTCTACCGCTCAGGGTGAAAATGATTCCCAGCAAAGCTGCCGCGCCAACGCTAGCAGTAGTGAGGATACTGAACAAGGAAGCCTCATTGGGAGCATAATCATAGATTTGAGCATTGAGGGGGTAGTAGGGATGGAGTGGAGCTTTGGAGTCCATAATAGTCATTGTGTTGAGTTCTCTGATTGAGCGATCGATGGTTGGAATTTGACGAAGGCTCTAACAGGAAGAGGTTTCTCACTTATGTATTGCTCCAGTAGTCGGTCGGAGTAAAGTATAGTGGGATGTTCAGTTGGTTTTTCCAAATCGGTAAGGAGACTCAATAGCCAGACACCTATACAAGCGATTAGACTTGGGCGTCAATAATCTCAATTGAGTACCACTGGCTGAAATTCACTTCAAAGCGTCTCCTCTTGCTTATTCTTCCGAGAACAACTGGTTATCATTATGAAGAAGTAGCTGTTGAATAGCATTTGCAACTCATTCAGCTGATCCGCACGGGACTAACCCGATGGAGCTAGCGGGATTTCTGTCCTCAGGCAACGACAGCTTCTCCGCAACTCTCCCCCCAAAGGTCCGCCGCTGTTCGACCGACGCCAGCTTGTATCGTCCGATGTCGCCATCTCCGTGATTCTGCTCCTCTCGCTCATTCCATGGGGACGGTCACCTTCGCTGATTACGCGCTCTCCGGCAATGGCACCTGGTCCTTTAAGACGCAAGCCCCTGGGGCTTGACGTGCCCCGCCCCGCTACGGTCGTCGAGTCGCCGCCTGGCATTGCGGCCCTCTTCGTCATTCGCTTCGATATCAAGGCCGGGTGAGAAATTTCAAGTCTGTCTTAACGGCAACCCATGCGAATGGTCCTAATTACTGACGGCTCTTTCGGAATGCAGTTACGTGATATCGTGGAAGCGTACTGTTCCCGGGGGTAAGTAGCACACTGCTGCTTCAACAGTCCTCTCCGTGATAGCGTCGCCTAACCCTGCCGGTCACACAGTTGAAGTCGAAGGAGCTGTGGAATACAAGTCACTTCCATCTGGCCTGCACAATGTCTCAGAAGATCTGGTGTATGTTTACTACGGCTTTGTCATGTCATCTATGCTTGCTAATAGCTCGGTCTTGCCAGATACTTCGTCCACGAGCAATACGCTGGCATCAGCGCATTTGTCAATTGGCCCGCTGAGGAAGCGGAGCGAAATGCAAAGATGTTTGCTATCGGGGTTCTAGTCCCATTAAGCTCCGGAAGATTGGGGAAGAGCTGGAGACATGCGCCCAAGCTCAAAGAATTGGCGGCGTAAGTTGAAACCGGTTATGCGCTGTCCTTCGGATCTGGCCGTTGACGCTTTCTCTACCGCTTCCAGGAACTATGCTGAGGACATGTCTAATACGCAACCTTTAACGGAGTACTGGGACAACTATGAAATCCGTGAAACTGATGCCTCCGCCATGCCACCCGATTCCCCCATGGAGTCTCCTCTCAGTCTCCGGCTGCGGGCCCATGGCGATCTAAGAGATGCCGTTCATCGAACCCGCGCTTTCAGTGATGCGATTGTATTGGAAACGCCCAGGCCGGCCCTGACGCCCTTCCACCCAGCTTCCTCGCTTCCTAATTTCTTAGATTCCTTCGGTCCTCTTCTATTTCCTCTGTACAGAGCAGCATTGCTGCGCAAAAGGATCCTTTTCATGGCTGAAGCGCCAGTTCATGAGCCCTGTAGCTACGGTATGATCACTATCCAATCTCTTTCTACCAATACTTACAGTCAGCCAGTGTACGATCTTTCTTTATTGGCCTCCTTACCTAATTCGCTCCTTCCATTGCTACCGCAGAACGGTTTACCCTCTCCGCGACCTCGCCCATTGTTCAACGTCGGCATCCATGATATCCCTCATCTCTCGTCTTTTGTGGGCACTTCGGTCAATGCAGAACATGACGCAGCCTGGATTGCATGCAGCACAGACAGTGTTTTGACCATGAAGCCTGAACTCTTCGATGTCCTCGTCACCTTGCCTCCTGCTCACTCCAAAAACGCCGCGGAGAAGGTATTCCCGACGATTTCCATCTTTCATACGCAACCGCCAAAGGGCAAGACGCCCCAATCCATCGAAGTCAAAGCAACCCAGCGTGACGCACGACGTTATGCTACCCTTCGCAAGGGTCTTCGGCACGTTACCCAAGAAGACGAAGCAGCAGCCACTGAGGCGGACGACGACTCAGACGCAGCCTCGACATACTCCTCCAGCCCCATTGTTGAACCCCTCTCATGGACACGCCTAGCCTACACCTCCTTCATATGGTGGGCATCAGCCGGCGAGAAGCGGGACGGTCTCTCCGAGGAAGAGGAAGAAGAGCACCAAATGGAACAGGACACACGCCTGCTAGCCAGTGTAGAAACCCTTCCCAGTCCACCCTCTGGGTCTCTCGGCCGTCGGAGCATTCAACCGCAGGAATCAACCCAGCCGCCTGAAATCGCCCTAGTCGCGTACTTCCGTCGCCTCACAGCTCAGATCTTCATCACTTTATCCGATGTAGTTGCCCGGCACGATAGCCGCAATTCCCCTGAGGACGATGATGCAGATGACGACGAAGAAATTCCCGAAGAAGACACCATACCTTACGAAGATGATCCAGAAGACGACGAGGGCCCCGGACCTTCCCTCGCCATTGGCCGACAACCCACCCAAGAAGACGATTCCAGGTCTCCATTGCTACAGCAGCAACAGACAGCGACCGGGACCGGGCGCGACGCCAGAACCTCCTACGATGATAGCGACCCAGTAAAGATCACTTCTGAAGACCTGACTGAGATGGGCTTGGATATCTGGAGCACTGCTGACCGTGTGTTTGTCGAGGAATTGGTTCAGCTATGGTGGGGTCGGAAGGCACGTGTGGATAGTGCGAGGATCAGATGTTGCGGCATCTCCATCATATAAATGGTGTATGTGCTGGTTGGGCTGCAATAGTGCGGCGCTTCTTATTTCTCCTTCTTTTCTTCCTTCTCTATTTACACATCGTCTTGTCTGGCACTATGTGTACGCTTGAAAGTATATACGGTGAGGTATAAGCATTTATAGATTCTAATCAATCTGTAGGAATGCTCATGCTAGGCCACATAGTGCTATTTGAAATTCCATTATGGAAATGGGAGATCGCATTGAAAATGTCATGTCAATATCATAAGGTTCTAGTCTTCATCCCAACAGTATCTTGAAATCCACCAGCCACGCATCGTACAAATCAACCTATATACAAAAGAAGAGTGGGATTTTCAAGCAGGAAAAAGAAAAATCAAAAATCACTAGACAAAGGAGAGTAAAGAAAAATCTAAAAGAGAAGGTCAAGGCTGATAAGCAATGCTCATTTGCCGTGTGGTTGGGATAGTTAATAGAATGGACCAAAAGAGCAAAGCATTCGAGTGGGAAAAAATTATCCTCTTGGAACATGTAAGAGGGAAACAAGTAATAGTCGTAGCTTTTTGAAACTGACGTAACAAGAAAGGAGTACAAGAGAGCAGCATTTATGCCTTTCAAAGCAACATCCAAAAAGACAAAAACGCCATTTCGCTAGGAGGACCAGGGTATCAAGAGAGAGTTGAGTCGTTAACCAAGATTATGAATGAGAGATAATTTGAATCGTTGAGTCAAGCGCACTGATCCTGGCTGTTGAGTTTAGCCAGTAAGTGATGAGACGGCCGTTTCAGTAGTGGGACATTTGGATAGGAGCGCTCATATCCCTCCGACTTCTGATGGAACCGTCGCTTGCATCTGGATTCTGGACCCCAGGGTATCGTCGGGCGCTCCGGACAGGAGTGACTCCCATGCCTCCCGAGCGAAGTCCACTTTCACTGGCACTGACAGACCTCTTCATGGTGTTTGCTCTCTCTCTCCGCGCTCTAATTTGAGCCAGTGCTTCTTCCCGGCTGATGGGGGTACCAGGAACGTCGGAAAAGCGATTTGATCCCCCATCATCGCGCAAAGGGACTTTCGTTGGGTCATTGTGCCTCTCAGGGGTGCCGGCTTCATGTCCAATGGGCATCACGGGATCCCATGGCACATCAACAACCGCTGGCAAGGGGTGGCTTTTTGGAGTAGCTTCATTCTCCGTTATTGAGTCAAACGGAGCCTGATGCTGAAGAGACTCATACTTTGGGGCAGGGCTACCAGACATCACACGGGCATCTATTCCATGTCCAACATAGGACGCTGGTGACTGATGATCATTCGCACTAGCCTCGTTGGGCTTTCGGGGAGATCCTCGCACAGGAGAAGGGAAGGTGTGAAAGGTCCCAGTGGCAGGTGAGAATGTTATCAAAGGTTCCTCCGGAGGCTCATCGTCGTCGTCATCAACTTCCTGGACCTCCTCGATCTCTTCAACGATTTCATCGACATCTTCATCAACATCATCTGCGGCCGCCTCACGCTCGGCTTCTTCTTCTCCGGCAGGATCCTCCGTCAGAACTTGTTCCTTGACACTTGTCGGATACCTAACGGGCTCGCCTTTAGGAGTATGAGAAGGGCTTGGCTCCTCCGGTGCAGCAAGGGCGTTTTGATCATTGTCGCGATTTTCTGGGAGTTCCATCTTATCCTTCTTTGTCGTATCCACGCTTTGCAGCTCATGGGTGTGAGGTATGCTTTTTTGCTCTGCCAGGCGGCAAGTGCAACGTTTGAAATGACACTCCAGTCGCAAGAATTCGAGCATTCCCTCAGCGTCGGCTCTGAGTTGACGCTCGCGCCTGAGTGTCTCCTCCAGCTCAGCAATTTGTTCCTCTTGTACATCAAATGTCGTGATCTCCGGGGCCTCCTTTCGAGGAGTTACATCAGACATCCTTTGCCTCTTAGGAGGGGTATCCTTGACGGGTGAAGATTGCGCGACATTGGCTTGAGTCGGGTTGGCTACATCCTCGGCAGAACGTTTGGGTCTCCGAGGGGTAGGTGTCAAGAGGAGATTGAGATCGCCTTCGGTCAGCGACATTCGTTTAATATCGTTCTTCTTCTGCTGCGCTTGCGCTTCGAGCTTCTGCGAGTGGTTGTTGGCCTCGGCGGCCCGTGGCTGTTCTTTAAGGACCTCCATCTCCTCTGTAAGACCAGCAATGGCGTAAGCGCGTTCGAATGCCTCTTGTTTCGCTTGTTCTTTTGCTGCTCGCTCTGCCTGGGCCTCGTCTTTGTGTCCTTTGGCTTCGTTTCTTGCGTGTTTCAGCTCCTCCTGTGTTTTCACCAAAACGGAGCCAGCTCGGAAAGCTTCTTTCCTCGCTTTCCTAATTTCTTTTTCGAAGATTGATCGCTCGTGTGCCTGGCGCTCTTTTGTTGTTTGCAGTTCTTCCAGCAGGGACTCCAGTCTTTCACTTATCCGACGCTCCCGCAACTGGGCTTCAGAAAGCTGAGCGGAGACATTCGCCAATGCAGACTCAGCCTCCTCGCGTCCAAGAATAGCCCGCTGAAGAGCTGCCGTAGATGCTGCCGAAGGCTGTGAAGCTTGCGCGGGGCTGTTTCCTCGCGACAAGTTGTTCAGATACGCGACCTTGGCCTGTACATCGGTGAGTCCCCGGGGAGTCTTCCGCTGAATGTTGAAAATATCCGATGACATTGAGGGTGAGCCAAGTCCAATCTGCTGATTCATCCGGTCTGGTGACATGGGGTTGAGGGCCTTTGTCGGGCTCGACGTCGCGCTCGATGGATTCTCCATCGCGGCAGTATGTGCTGTTGCTGTGGGTGGTTAGTGTAAGAAATGATGCGTTCACTCAAGACTCAAACATGACAGTCGTGTCTCGAGGGGTTGTGAAACTAGTAGGTGCCGAAGGAAGCCCCGTGGAAAATCCACCTGGAGTGGAGGTGAGAGGAGAGTAGTGCTCGGTTGATGATCCCCTAATCGGTGACGCACCCACAACAATCAACCGATCCCGCCGATTCCACGCTTGTTTGTTGCTCGCGCTGCAGTCTCGTGACTGTTGCCCGGGACAACAATGTCTAGCCGTATTTGGAAGGCGGGGTTCACGTGTTACAGACTCTGCCACTAGTCCCGGCTAGGAAATCAGCACATAGGATGGTCCGTGCGTCCACTGCTTGTGATGCCATCAGTTGCCCACGATTGAGAAACTGTGGGTGTTGTGTTCTAGACTTGCAGCCAGTTTGAAGGTCCTGAATTACGCTGGATTAGTTCCAAGATAGTTTGTTACTGCTTCCGGGAGGCTTTGTGGTTTTGACATCCCCTGCATGTGCAGCACCTGTAGGGTACCATCTGCGACAGCTGCATATATTTTTTTGAGTGCAACGCCGATGTGGGACATAGTAATTGTCAACACCAACCATGCATGAAATCATCACGTTACAGCTCGGTCAGAGAGCCAATTACCTGGCCACACATTTTTGGAACCTCCAGGTTAGAAACTCAAATTCCAGGCTGCCTTGCTCATCCAATTTGCATCCCATAGCTGACATTTCTGGCAGGAATCTTACTTCACCTACAACGAGGAAGAGGAATCTCCGGTAGACCATGATGTCCATTTCCGCCCAGGCGTCGGCGCCGATGGGTCGGAAACATACACCCCTAGGACTGTCATATATGATCTCAAAGGCGGCTTTGGCACACTCCGCAAGTACAACGCTTTGTACGAGTTGACTGAAGATGCCACTCCTGGCCAGGGCTTATGGTAGGTTCTCACCTTTTCACCTACCCTCCCTCCTTGTGGCAACCCAAGACGGCCAGTGATACAAGGTTAACGGTGAAAATGTAGGGATGGAAGGGAGGTTCTACAACAGCAAGCGCCTATTCCCCAGAGTGACTATCAGAAGAGCCTCGATGCAGGGCTACCTGCTCCAACGCTCTCTGCAGAAACAGTCAGGTATTGGTCGGACTATAACAGACACTTCTATCACCCTCGCTCTATTGTACAGCTCAATGACTATGAGCTGAATTCCAAAATTATGCCTTTCGAGGATTGGACCATTGGCGAAGAACTATTTAATGAGCTCGACAAAGAGCATGACTTGCTCGATCGTGACGTCAGACCATTCGCAGAAGAATGCGATCAGCTGCGGGCACTGCAAATATTCACCGGCTCTGACGACGCATGGGGCGGCTTTGCTGCAAAGTACATTGATAGGATTAGGGACGAATATGGCAAGAAGTCCGTCTGGGTTTGGGCCATCGAGAACGGAAAGAAGGTCGATCGGGTGAGTATCTCTACGCAATGTTCTAGGTCTATGTGAAGCTTACCCTGGATCGATGACAGCAAACTCAGTTCAAGAGGGACTTGAACAAAGCTCGGTCTGTACACGCCATCTCCACACAGGCGTCGCTGTATGCGCCCATTATCGATCCTCCAAGTAGAATCCCTCAATCTATATATCTCGATGCTCGGTCGGAATGGTACACCTCGGCCCTGGTTAGCGCCGCCATGGAAAGCGTGTCGCTCCCGACACGACTGCGTCCATATCACGACTTTGAGGCGTCCCTGGCCGGTGATGATGGCACCCATAAGATATTCGAGCTGCAAAGTACAATGGTGCAGGATGGTGAAGATGCCACAAAGTCGCATACCAAACCATCAGATGATAGCGATGAAAAGGAACCCGGAAGCTCACCGATCAAAACGGAATTCGACCTGGACTTCACCTACGACGGGCTGGCTTGCAGAAATTCCCACCATGTCTTCAACCAGCTCCAAGTTTCACGGGGACTTGCCGATGGGGGAGATGAGTCGGGCGGAGAGGATCAGGGTATCCTCCGCAGAAAACGACATTTTAATTCAGAACCAATGTTCCAGAGGTCAGATAAACCCGCTTAACTCGTTCTATGTAGTCACATCGTTAACACTACATATAGGTTCCATACGACCCTACCTTTCCCGATTCTGGACAGCTTCCCCCAGAATATGTTCCCAGAACTCAAATCGAAGGAGAAAATCAATATCCTTGCAGCGTTGACTGTCTCTTCGCGAACGGCGGAGAGACTGAAAGTCTATGAGACATTGGCTGGGCGCGTGGCTGGAGTGGATGAGCGGGAAACTTTGGTGAATGGGCTGGGCGAGATCCGTGAGACATACGAGACAGGATGGATGAGCGATTCCGATTTTGATGATGACTAGCCTTATAAAAATAATATACCTCACACTTGCATCGTAATTGTAGCATCATTGCCCATCCCCTGCAGATGGAGATATCTTAGTTGGACCCTGAAGCACCGGAATCCTTTTTAAGCGCGACGATCGGGGCGCCGATCGGCGGGGGCAAACAGAACAAACAGGGAGCCGGTCGGCCAAACGTGGCCTCTGTGCAATCATCGCGTCTTTCATTCATCGCGATCTCATTTCTTGGTCCTACTCTCGCTTACTGCCAGGTGGCCAGTAATTCCAACTGTGATTGTGGCCTAGATGGCTCTGTCGTTCTAAATCTTGCGTACGTGGTCTATTCCTTCCACCATGTGCTTCCCTCCAGCCAGCTAACCGGCTCATAGTTCAACGACAGCTACTTTTACTATTCAGCCCACCTCCAGACCCTGAAATAATCCTAATCGATGTACCAATAGCTATTCTCACCAATCACCCTTTCAGAATATAACCGACAAAAAAGAAGGGTCAACCTTTATACCGGATGGGGAATTATTAAATCTTTTGTACCCAGCAAAAGGTATGCGACAATGTGTGGAGGACGACGTTCACGACGGAAGGATTTACTGACTCTCGCAGCATTAGAAATACACAGACCATGGCTCCCGGCAGCCAGCGACGGCCCTATGCCTCGCTCACCTCCCTCCCCGTACTCTCCCTAATTCTACCATTTCTCCTCTTCGTCCTCAGCTTTCCTGCCCCAGCTGCGGCTGCGGGCTCCGCAGTTCTTGGTATCGATGTCGGCACAGAGTATCTGAAGGCTACGCTCGTCAAACCCGGTATTCCGCTTGAGATTGTCCTCACCAAAGATTCGAAGCGCAAGGAGTCCGCCGCTGTAGCGTTCAAGCCTACCCGCGAGGCCGATGCCTCGTTCCCGGAGAGATTCTACGGTGGCGACGCCTTGGCGCTAGCGGCACGGTATCCCGATGATGTCTATTCGAACCTCAAGACTCTGCTCGGACTTCCTTTCGATGCGGACAATGAGTTGATCAAAAGTTTCCACAGCCGCTATCCCGCCTTGCGTCTGGAAGAAGCTCCCGGGGATCGTGGCACGGTTGGCCTGCGAAGCAACAGACTGGGAGAAGCTGAAAGGAAGGACGCCTTCCTCGTTGAGGAAATCCTGGCCATGCAGCTGAAGCAGATCAAGGCCAATGCTGACACTCTGGCTGGAAAGGGATCGGACATCACGGACGCCGTGATCACTTATCCGTCGTTCTACACCGCGGCGGAGAAGAGGAGTCTGGAATTGGCCGCGGAACTGGCAGGTTTGAATGTCGATGCGTTCATCAGCGATAACCTCGCTGTCGGCTTGAACTACGCAACCAGCCGCACGTTCCCCAGTGTTTCGGATGGCCAGAAGCCCGAGTACCACATCGTCTACGACATGGGCGCCGGTTCTACAACTGCCAGTGTCCTTCGCTTCCAAAGTCGCTCAGTGAAGGATGTGGGGCGGTTCAACAAGACCGTCCAAGAAGTCCAGGTTCTGGGAACCGGCTGGGACAAGACTCTTGGAGGAGATGCCCTGAACGATCTGATTGTTCAGGATATGATCGCCAGCCTGGTTGAGGAAAAGAAGCTCAAGGACCGGGTTTCCCCGGCTGATGTCCAGGCCCACGGAAAGACTATGGCGAGACTCTGGAAGGATGCGGAGAAGGCTCGTCAAGTTCTCAGTGCGAACACTGAGACGGGCGCCTCTTTCGAGAGTCTCTATGAAGAGGACCTCAACTTCAAGTACCGTGTCACCCGCGCCAAGTTCGAGGAACTCGCGGAGCAGCATATTGCACGTGTTGGAAAGCCTCTGGAGCAAGCTTTGGAGGCTGCTGGACTGCAGCTGAGCGATATCGACTCTGTTATCCTTCACGGTGGCGCCATTCGCACACCGTTCGTGCAGAAGGAGCTCGAGCGGGTTTGCGGATCTGCCAACAAGATCCGCACCAGTGTCAATGCGGATGAAGCTGCGGTGTTCGGCGCTGCCTTCAAGGGAGCCGCTCTGAGCCCCAGCTTCCGTGTTAAGGATATTCGAGCAAGCGATGCCTCGAGCTACGCTGTCGTTCTTAAGTGGGATTCCGAGTCTAAGGAGAGAAAGCAGAAGCTTTTCACCCCGACTTCCCAGGTCGGCCCTGAGAAGCAGGTTACTGTGAAGAACTTGGACGACTTTGAGTTCAGTTTCTACCACCAGATCCCTGTCGACGGGAATGTCGTCGAATCGCCAATCTTGGGTGTGAAGACACAGAACCTCACTGCCTCTGTCGCTAAACTGAAGGAGGATTTCGGTTGCACGGCAGCCAACATCACTACTAAGTTCGCCATCCGCCTGAGCCCTGTCGACGGCCTTCCTGAAGTCGCCAGCGGTACCGTCAGCTGCGAGGTGGAGTCTGCCAAGAAGGGAAGCGTTGTCGAAGGCGTCAAGGGATTCTTTGGCCTGGGCAACAAGGATGAACAAGTTCCTCTCGGAGAGGAAGGCGAACCCAGCGAGTCGATCACTCTTGAGCCCGAGGAGCCTCAAGCCGCGACAACTTCCTCGGCAGATGACGCTACCTCTACCACAACCGCCAAGGAGAGCAAGAAGAGCACCCCCGCAACCAAGCTGGAGAGTATCTCAATCAGCTTTACCTCATCTCCGCTGGGAATCCCCGCTCCCACCGAAGCAGAGCTCGCTCGCGTCAAGAGCCGCCTGGCCGCCTTCGACGCCTCCGACCGTGAACGTGCCTTGCGCGAAGAAGCCCTCAACGAACTGGAATCCTTCATCTACCGCAGCCGCGACCTAGTGGACGACGAGGAGTTCGCCAAGGTAGTTAAGCCCGAGCAGCTGACCACGCTGCAAGAGAGAGCCTCCGAAGCCAGCGACTGGCTGTACGGTGACGGCGACGACGCAAAGACTGCCGACTTCCGCGCGAAGCTCAAGTCACTGAGAGAGATTGTCGACCCAGCCCTCAAGAGGAAGAAGGAGAACGCGGAGCGCCCCGCTCGCGTCGAGCTCCTGCAACAAGTCCTGAAGAACGCCAAGTCCGTCATTGACGTGATGGAGCAGCAGATTCAGCAAGACGAGGACCTCTACTCCTCCAGCGTCGCAGCATCCAGCTCTTCCTCCTCCACCACAACCGAGTCCTCGACCTCCTCATCTACTACTACTGGATCCTCTTCTTCCGTCGACCTCGACGAAGACCCCTACGCCACTACCTCCACCTCATCCACCACCAAGACCGCCTCGGCCACCACTACCCCCAAGCCCAGCGGTCCCAAATACTCCATCTTCCAACCCTACGACCTAACCAGCCTCTCCAAGACCTACGAATCCACCAACACCTGGTTCGAAACCCAGCTCGCTCTCCAGGAGCAGCTCACCATGACCGACGACCCGGCCCTCCCTGTCGCTGAGCTCGACACCCGTCTTAAGGAGCTCGAGCGCGTCCTGAATCGCATCTACGATAAGATGGGTGCGGCGGCAGCCAAGTCCGGAAAGGAGCAGAGCAAGAAGAACAACAACAACAACGGCAAATCGTCGAAGAAGGAGAAGGCTAAGGCGCAAGAGGAGCAGAAGATGCCTGCTAAGGAGGAAGAGCAAAAGGAAGATAAGAAGGCTAACCGCAAGGATGAGCTCTAAATCTATTGCAGCCTTGTTATTCTTCTGGTTTATGGGAATTGAGGCAATCGGTTCCTGAAGAAACAAATTAAAAATTTACTAGGAGTTCGGATTGAGCGTTACTACTTTCGTTTTTTTTTGTTGTGATGAGATGAACATATACACAGTGATAAGCCAGTCCCCGTGGAGGATTGTTGGTCGGTGTTATGTAAACTATACTACTATAGATAGAATTGACTTGACTATTTATTTCAGTTTGGATGTTTCTTTGATTTATCATTCATACAGTTCAGAATCAAGTCTGCTGCATGTGTGCTGGCTATTGCATAAGCCTAACTTGCATAGGGAAGTTGAACATGTAGGTAGTCGTCGCGATCGGATATTATGTACAGGGTGCTTGACGACAAACAACGGGAATGTAGAACAAGCAGGGGTCAAGTAAGAATATGCATAGAAAAGACCGACAAGGCAAAGGAACACAATGATGAGAACAGTATGCATGATGTATCAATCCATCCACCATGCTCGTTCTTTAGCACATAGTACCAGCCTATGGCACTGTGTATCCCCAAGGAACGTTGCGCGCAAACAAAACCACAGCAGATGATAGTACAACCACCCAAATCCAGCCCAACCCATCTTAACTCCGGCTAATAAGATACCCCAGAAAAGACAATAGGAAGAAGATGAAAGAAAATCACAGACGAAAGTAACCACACGTTTAAACACCACCCATTTCAATCTCTGAGTTTCGACTCACAGAGCCGTACTCCATATCCACCTCCTCGCGACTACGCAAGAAGGAAGCCTCCTCAAAATCATCGATATCCATACCCATACCCTCGGAGATCGTGGCATGTTTCTGCAGTGCCACGAATCGCCTTCGCTGTTGATTCAGCTTGGGCGCAAGGATCGTCCGGCCCATGAAAGTAGCATTATGAGCAGTAAGATCCAAGCCGGAAGCAGCAACGTCATTCTCATCACCACTATCGTCGATATCAAAGTCCATATCATAGGATCGTTTCTGGCCACCAGCGTTGGATTCCTGACTGCTGGAGGGGAGGGAGAAGGCGTCGCCTTCATCGTCGGTGATAAGGTTCATGGGTGCGGAATGACTGCGCATGCCGCTATAGGGAGCCAGCTCGGAGAAACTGGAGTCGGACTTCGCCAGGCGAGTCTTGTAGCCCTCTGCGACGGACTTGCGAACACGCATGCCGACGGAGAGGAGGGAGGCTTGGACTTTGGTGGGGACAATAGGGGTGGGGGAGCAGGTTGCTGCGGAGTAGTGGTTGTGGGAGAGGTGGTGGGAGCGGTCGGTGGTCACGTTGGCATTGTCTTCTGAGGGAGGAGTAGATGTGGTCGAGAAGAAGCTAGTGATTGGTGGTTGAAAGCGTCTGCGTTTGAAGGCCAGGTCGGCGGCCTTGTTGGTGGTGGGGGACTGGAGGGATGGGGACATGTTGGACTGGATAGCGACAGGCGGGACTTTTGTCTATCCGGGGAGTGGAGAAGTTGCAGTGGCCTAGTCTGTTTGTATGCTCGTGAGGGACCACTTGGGTCTGGAGGACGGCCTCTGATTTGACAGGAGATATACTTTGGAATGTGCGATGTAGTAAGAGAAAATGCAAGGGCTGTGGAGGGGAAGAGGGGAGAGTAGCTCTAATAGCAGAAGAGGAAGAAGAGAGAGAGAAAAGAAAGAGGCTGGGGAGGGAAAGAACCTGAGGCACGGAACGCGACGCGCCACGACGCGCCTGGCACGTGTCACTTCCCAATTTACCCTCTTTGGGACTGACATGAAATTACTCCATATTTCATGCGAAAGGCACATAAGAAGATATAGTAGGCAGTGTCTGGACTACGGAGTATTTCCTAATAGCGTTGCGGGGAGTGCAGAAAGTTACTAGAACATGTCTAAAGAGATCAATCATTGCAGAAGAGCTCTATATACAGAAAGGCACGCTTTTCAGGACATCCAAATGAGATGAACCATGAGGCTCGATGATACAATAGCAACTGGAATATGGAACGAAACAATAGATCTACGATAGGGTATCACCATATATACCTTAACCAATGTTTCCTCTGCGACCTCCCCGCTTGGCCCGATCGTGATGAGCCTTGAGAACGGCGCGGGTTTGCACCAAACTGCGCTTGTTCTTGCTCTTGGCCTTACCCAGGGTCATCAAGAAGTTCTTCTTGCGTGCCTTCTCCTTGTTGGTCGTACTCTTGCCCTGATCCTGCTTGCGCTCCTTGCGCTTGGCCGTTATACTCTTGTGCTCGGCCCGATCAGTCTTGCCTTCCTTGGCATGAGCAATCCGCTCCTCGCGCGTGGCCTTGCCGGCAGAGAGAGCAGCCAGGCCCTCGATCTCTTCGGCCGTCAGTGGATCGTCACGATCACGTTTCTTCGCGCCCGGCACGAGTGAGTTGATGGCGGCTTCGGTACGCAGCTCTTGGAGCTTAGCCAAGTCAGCCGGGGTGAGAATGCGAGTCGTTGCAAGCTTGGAGAACTTGGCCTCAGCAGACTCTTCCTTCTGTTCTTCCGCCTTCTCGGCCTTAGTATCGTCTCCGCTGCTTTCACTGGACTTGGCCTTCTTAGCGGGAGGTCCGTCTTTCTCATCCTCGGAATCGCTGATGTCGATTTCAGCGTCGCTCTGCACATTGATCCAATCGCCCGAGTCATCACTGTCCTCATCATCTTCCACGTTCCAAGATGCCCAGTTGTCCTCCTCGCCTTCCTCCTCATCATCAGAAGCATCAGAAGCCAAGCCCTTCTCAGCCCTCCTCTTCCGGCGCTCCTCCTCCTTCCATTTCTCCAGGAGCTCCAGACCCTCGATGCCACCGGCCTCCTGTTCCGCAAAGCGCTTCTCTTTCCTCTCCCCGGCCTTAAGGCCGATGGAAGCGTCCTTGCCGCGGTCCCGTCTCTTGAGCATCTCAGGGTTGACCTCCCGGAACAGACTGAGCAAACCTCGGCCCGCCATCATGACACCCTTATCCTTACTCTTGCGGTACATAACAAGATCTTGCAACAAGGTCTCATTCATGGCGAGTGGCTGTCGTGCGCAAATCTCTCGGATAGCGTTGAGACCAGCCGAAGCGACCTCAGAGGCTGAGGCTTCCGAGACGAACTCATTGGCGATCTTCTGAACCAAGGGCTCCAGGTCATCCGGGGGTACCAAATCGTGCGATGCTTGCGCCAGCGAAGCCAAGAACGACGTGACGGATGGCTGACGGGGAGTCAGGAATTTCTGGAAGTAAGAGTAGAGATGCATGATATGCAGTTTATGCAATCCGACAAGGCGGGTCACCAGCTGGAGCACCATAAGCTTGTGGTCCAAGTTCAGCTTCGACTTAGTGTTCTGCAAATGCTTCGAGAACAGGGACTCGGCGTATCCCTGAGGGTCGTGGAGAAGATGCAAAGCGGAGAAGTTCAGAGGATGCGGCTGGCTCTTCTTGCGCTCCCTCCTCTTTACGGTCGCCTTGGCCTTCTCAATCGCGCGGGACTTCTTTCTGGTCTTCTTGTTGATGCCAACTTGATGTTTTACTCGCCCCAAGTCAATGGCTTCCTCGTCGCTGCTTTCGTCTTCCATTTCCTCGCGCTCTTTGTCACCGCCCGAGAAGAAGCGAACACCACCAACGATGACTTTCTCGTTCGATGCCAGACTGGCTTCCTTCATGACCTCTACAGCCTTGGCATCGGTCCAGATCTGGCGCTTCCACAGCTCGCGCGTAAGCTTGATAGCCCAAAGACCCTTAGAAGAAGTCCGATCCGACGTCACCAAGTTGAACAGGACCGTCTGCATAGTGCGGTTAAGCTTATGGTTCGTAGTCTTCGCATTGGCCTGTCGAAGATCCATGAGGATCTTTTGGAAGATCAAAGCTCGTAGGGTTTTGCTGGGGGTAGAAATGAGGATAGGGAACAGAGTCTGAAGCAATCTGGAGAAATAAATCTATTAGCAACCAGCCCATGTGCATGTGGCAGTCCATTAGTAAACATACGTCGCTGAATCCAACAGTTCCTTCTTCCTTAGAAGCACCAAGCTACCGACGATCTTTTCGCGCAATTCCGGCTGGAGGATCAGATGGTGCTGCGTCAAAATATCCATGAGTTGCTGAGGGAAATCCTTCGTAATCTCGGGATAGCAGTCGGCCACATGAGCAATGAAATCGATCAATTCTCTAAGAGAGATAAGACCCGTCTCCGTGGTCGACGAAGGCGCGGTCATGAAAATTTCCCGGTGACTCTCATATTGGTAGTGCTGAGCGCGGAAGTCTTCAATATAGGATCTTCACAAGTAAGCGACAATTAGCAAACAACTCTGACATTATCGACCAATCTGATCGCATTATTCGTAGTAAAACATACTTGGGATCTCTCCGAATCTTGTGCTGCAGGTTGGGCCTATGGAAAGCAGTGAGTTAGCGACGGGAGAAATTCGTCTTTTTTTTGGCAGGAGATTCGTAGCCACACAGAGACTGTGGAAGACGACTTACAGATCAGCCTCGACCTTTTCCAAGGCCCCCAACTTTCTTTTCACCATCTTTGCGAATTATAGTGGTGAAAAACTGAGGGGTTGAAGTGGTTGGTTGAGGGAAAGAAAGGCGGGCGACGGTTGCCAGGGCCGATAACAGAGCCCCGAACATTTTTTTTTCGCAGCGACGGGTCTGGCCTATCGATAAGCCGCAGTCAGTTCTTGGGATTGCCAGCACGGGCACCTCTGTACGGGGACTTGATTATTGTGGTCTTTAGAATTATAGGCATTTACAAGATATAGTCTACTGTGAATCTAGAACACTTTCTTTGGGCTTCTTGTCACACTCTTCAAGGTGCTTTTGAGTCTACGTTTGTGTAGTTGATTGCCACATCCGAGGCGGCAGGGGAACCATGGTTGAAACAGGGAAATCTTTTTCGTGTAAAAAAAATAGATAAAGGTATTGACTTCACAAGCCAGAGGTCTTCATGATCGCATCTCAACTACTGTAGAAGAAAGCCGTCCGATTCTCTCATTTTTAGGATCTCGCTCCCTCCCGTGACTGTTTTCAGGTATGTACAGTCGCGCAGATGCATGCAAATCGACTGAATCCTAATAAACCCCCCGTCCACTCCAGTACACGCAAAACCAGGACCAAACGGAGAATACGCCCAAAATTCCCACTTTACCGGTTGGACTTGGCAACACGCTCGAGCTCGTCCTTCTTCTTGATGGCATAGGAGTTGGAGGAACCCTTGGCGGCATTGATGAGCTCTTCAGCCAGGCACTCAGCAATGCTCTTGATGTTACGGAAAGAGGCCTCGCGAGCACCGATGGTCAGGAGGGCAATAGCCTGGTTGACACGGCGGAGAGGAGACACATCGACGGCCTGACGACGGACGGTACCAGCGGAACCGATACGGGTGCTGTCTTCGCGAGGACCGCAGTTGACAATGGCGTCAACGGCGACCTGGAGAGGGTTCTGGTCGGTCATGATGTGGATCTAGAAAAGAATACCCGGTCAGCTTTCTGCGTCTGGTTCTGAGATTTTGCGGACCCTAGCCGTTCTGCGTGCGGAAGGCAATGGGGGCAGAAAATAGGTGACGTACGATCTCGAAGGCGTGGGCAACGATGCGGACAGCCATGAGCTTCTTTCCGTTGTTGCGGCCGTTCATCATGAGGGAGTTGGTCAGGCGCTCGATGATGGGGCACTGAGCCTTGCGGAAACGCTTGGCGGCATAACGGCCAGCGGAGTGAGGAAGGTAGACAGGGGAGCGGATCTGGACGTAGTCGCTATTGAACGCGAAGCCGAGTCAGCATATCTCGTTTCTGTGCCATTTCGCAAAAAAATTTTCCATCGTGATTCCCTTCGCAGATATCCCGAATTGTCGTGCGTTTTCCTCCCTGCATGCCGAGTCCACTGTCTTCCAACAGATAATGGCGTTTTTTTCCACCGGTCGACATAAAACCCATGCTCGTAGAACAATCAAAATCGCGATGGATTGGGAAGCACCTACGTCAAGGAGATGTCCCTGATCTCAACATCCTCGTAGCTCCACTTGTTGAACAGCTTCACGGATCCCATCTCCGCGATAGCCTCCTTGGGCAGGACCTGGAAGGCCGCAGCGGGGTTTTCGACCTCGACTTCGCCGTGTTCAGACATTTTGGTCGACGTATGCACCTGTTGCCGAGGGAGGGATACGTGTAGGTGGCGGACGGTGTCGTTGGTGATCCTTCAACGTCGACGAATACAGTCGGGCGGCTGAAATGTGTCGCTGAGCGCAAGGAAATTCGAGGTGCGCCTCGCTTAGCGGGTGGTGGGTTAGGGCAGGACTGACCGCCAATGGCGCGGGTGGTGTCATGTGATGTTCACATCTGGGTTCCGGCACCCTATCCCGAACTAGGACTAGCGCTGGATGCCCGGTCAATACTGTTCACCAGTGCTCCGCTTCCAACCCGCCATATCATACATGGTTCTAGATGCAAACCT